CTGGAGCTGGTTCATGTACATAGGTAAGGATGCGCGGGGGCACATCCCGCCGAGGGTTCGGATCCCACATACAGACCGGTTCCCGCTCACTGGCTGAGCGAGGTGCGGGCGCAACACCAAGGGTTGCGATCCCGTTGCTGGTCCCGGTCCGGTACGGGAGCGACACTGAGGGTTGCGATCCGTTGCCGGTCACAAAAAAAAAAGACAAAAAAAGGAAAAAAAAAAAAATTTAATGCCTATAGCTCTTTAGTTTTTACCTACTTGACCTCTCCAAATTTATGTATACAATGTTATGAGTTTTTATATTGTTTAACATAAAAGCAAATTGTTTGTACTATATATAATTTGAAAACATCTAATCTGAAACATGAGTCTAAATCACTATAAAGACTTCCAAATTTGTTTTTGTTTTGTTTTGCTTTTAAAAGATGACCAGTAAGGGGATTCTTAACCCTTGACTTGGTGTTGTCAGCTCCACGTTCACCCAGTGAGCCAACCGGCTATCCCTATACGGGATCCGAACCCATGGCCTTGGTGTTCTCAGCACCACACTCTCCTGAGTGAGCCACGGGCCGGCCCAAGACTTTCAAATTTGTCCAGCTAATAAAAATGTTCTTTGCAGTCTATACCATAGTATTGTTATGAGGTTGACGACAGACTATAGCCCTCTCTTTTCATGAGTTCAGTGTATAAACACATCAAATACCGGCTAAATGACTGCAAATATCCCCTGGCCTTAAAAACTTCACAAAGATCATTTTACTATTCGAAACGCCCAATGAGAAATATATTCTGACACTACCCGTAGTCCCATTCCAGATTCAGTTCTCCCATTCATACTGACCTGTCTTTCAGGAGGAAGTGATGGGAAACAAGGGACTGCAGATGGCACAGTTAAGGGCCCTAGTGTAGATACTGGTGATGCCCCACATGGATGACCAGTTCCCACTACAGTACCACCTCCTCTGCCGAGGGCATCTTTCTTGACATCCTCGGTAAATCCGGTACTGACCAGGTCTGCTGGGACTTCAGCCTAAGGCAAGAGGGTAAGAATTCCATCTGGTTCTCAATTTATTATACATTTGTTTATTGCTTACTCAATACATACCAAACACTCTTGGATGCACTGGAGAAGAAATGGCGAGCAAAGAGACATGGCTCCTGCCCTCATGAAGCTTATAGGCTAGTCAATGACAGTTAAAAGTGACCTTCAGGCTTTCTAGCCCACATGCTTCCTCCTTCTCTCTTTCAATAACTATGTTTTGAGTACCTTTGAGGTCAGGTACTATGGTACACCAATTAAGAGCAATTATACATAAATATGCATAGATATGACTACAAGAAAGTTTATAGAACGTTAGCAACTATAAGCCAGGAAGAGCACTGGGATGCAACATTGAACAAAACACACAAAAGTCTGGAGCTGCCATTCTGGTGGGGAAGACATAATAAACAAGATCAATAAGTGATACAGTATGTTAAAGTGTTACAGAGGAGAAAATACAGAGCAGAGAGTAGGGAGAAGGTAGTCAGCTAGGAAGGGCCTTTCAGAGAACATTTAAGCACAGACTTGAAAGAAGGGTCAAAGCAGGTATCTAGAGAACACAGAGTACTGGAAAGAAGTACAAAGGTCCTGAGGTGGGAATGTGCCTTATGTGTTTGAAGAAACCTTAGGAGGCCAGTGTGGCTGAGACAGAGTAAACAAGGGGAGAGTGGAGGGAATGAGGTCAGAGAGATGAAAGGAGAGTGGTATGGGTGGCCTCTTAAGGCATGGGAGAGACTTAGCCTGTTATTCTAAGTGAAATAAAAACCCACTGGAGGGCTTTAAAAGCAGAGGAGTGACACAATCTGACTTAGATATTAACATGATCTCTGACACCATACTGAGCATCATTTAATGGGGGAGCAGGAATAGAAGCAGGAAAACCAATTAAGAGGCTATTGCCATAATCCAGGCAAGACAGGACTGCTGGTTAGACCAGGGTACTGGCAGTGGAGATGGCGAGAAGTGGCAGAATTCTGGATATATTTAAAAGGTAGATAACCAGGATTTCCTGAAAGATTGGTTGGCGGGGGGTGGGGTGGTAGGAGTTGAGAGAAAGGGAAGAGTCAAGGAAGAAGATATCAAGATTTTTGCCCTAGCATAGAATTGCCATTAACTGTAGAAGAGTAGGGTTATGGAAGGAGTGAGAGCGCTTTCGGACTTGTTAAGTTTGAGATGCCTCTGAAACATACAAGTGAAGATGTCAAGAAGGAAGGTGGATGTATGAACCTGGAGTTTATATAAGCCTAGTGATATAGCTAATGATATACATATGGAAGTCCCCACCATAAAGATGGCATTGAAAACCATGAGCCTAGAGACGTGGGAAGAATGAGAAGATTTCCAAAGACTAAGCCCTTGGGCACATATGTAGTGGCATTTCATGTGGCTTTTACTTCTTCGAAGTCCCTTTCTGTATTGCTTAAATTTTTACAATGTGTCATTTTCAACAAGCTATTTAATTCTTTGGAAGAGAAAAAAAAAAAGAGTAAAAGAGTGCCCATCAGTAAACCACTAGGTGCAAAGCATCAGAAAAGATAAAGGTGCTCCTTGACCATAATCCAATATGGTACGTGCTGCACCAGCAATTTGAAGGCAGTGCAGTGGGAACACAGAAGATGGAATAGACTCCCTGTCGCTTCACACTTGCACTAAGCAGGAGGTTGGCACCCAAAAATGAGGCCATCTTCTATAAAGAAGTCACCAGAGATAGCCTAATCAATCACTACAACAAGTAGCTCCCCACATGAAATTATTTGAGAGGCATTAGAAATCCCTCTTGCACCAAGACAGTCCATGGCCCCCTTTTGGAGGCTTAATCCACCCTCTGTGATAATAATGATGATGACAAAAAGCAAAACTTGATTACATTTGTTATGTGCCAGTCACTGTTTTTATGTTCCGTATTCATATTAGCTCTTTTAATCATCTCAACAAACTTGTGACATAGGAATTATTTCTATCCCCCTTTTTACGGTCCAGAGAACTGAGTTTTTAAGACTTGCCTGGGGTCTCATAGTTAATAAATGGTGGAGCTAGGATCCGAATATGGGTTGTTTCACCCCTGAACCCATGCTCTTAACCAAGATAAATGATACTGCTTTGTGCCTTTGATCTTGTATCTTTTATTTCAAGTGTTTCTTATTAAAATGCAAAATAATGCCAAGACAAATTCAAGATCTTAAGAACTAAAAATGTTTTACCCTCTTCTGGATATAACACTTTAGGTACCTTCATCTTTGTTTTCTACTCTATCACTAACAACTTAGAAAGGTCTGTTAGAAAAAGTATGTGGGCAGAGAAGCAACACAAATTTTACCTGCTTCAGAATTCCAGAGCTACTCCAGCTACACAATTCCAGAAGCCACATCCCTAAGTAGAACAAATTTTTGGTGCATGACAGAAATCGCAGCTTTGAGTCAATTCTTTCTTCTTGGAAGTACTCACCATAACGGTTGCCTTAGATTTATAGGGCACATCATAGTTCTTAGCAATTTCTGTAAGGTATTGTTCCACTAGAACCTGGGGTAGAGTGTTCACATTCAATTTACACATTAGCTGTAAAATAAAGAACACAACAGATTTGGTCACATACATACTTGCAAAACAAGAAACAAAAACAGTTTAGGTGGTCTTTCAACTCTGAATCATTGTTCTTCATCTTTATTCTATTCTTTGTTGTTTAGGATTTTTTTTTTTTTTTTGTGGGTGGCTGGCCAGTCCAGGGATCTAACCCTGGACCTTGGTGTTATTAGCACGCAGTCTAACCACTGAGTTAACTGACCAGCCCTGAAATGTATAATTTTTTTTAAATTGTATAATTTAGGGGCCGGCCCGGTGGCGCACTGCTACAGTGCGCCGCTTGGGAGCGCGGCAGCGCTCCCGCCGAGGGTTCAGATCCCACATACAGACCGGCCGCTCACTGGCTGAGCGAGGTGCGGGCGCGACACCGAGGGTTGCGATCCCGTTGCCGGTCCCGGTCCGGTACGGGTGCGACACTGAGGGTTGCAATCCGTTGCCGGTCACGAAAAAAGACAAAAAGAAAAAAAAAATTGTATAATTTAACAAGAAGGAGGGGTCCTGCTTGTGTATCATGAGACAACCTTATCCTAGAGTGAAGGAACTTCAAACCAAGTGGAATAAGAAATAATATAAGAAAACATAAGAAATAATCATAAGAAAAAATGTTTTGAATCAAAAACTCTGATTTTGTGATGTGCTTTAATTACATCAGGGGTGATAGTCAACATATTTAATAAGCTGTAGAGCATGACACTAACCAGTCTGAATGGACACCCTGAATGACAAGAATGTCCACCAGCCTAAAACAACTGCTGCAGCCAGATCTCTGTGTTCCAGCTGAATGTCAGTCCTGAATTATACATGTGTGGTCATGATGCCATATGTTCAAATGCTGAAACTTCTTCTTTTTTTTTTTTTTTTTTTCCTTTTCGTCTTTTTTCGTGACAGGCAACGGATCGCAACCCTCAGTGTCGCCCCCGTACCGGGCCGGGACCGGCAACGGGATCGCAACCCTCGGTGTTGCGCCCGCACCTCGCTCAGCCAGTGAGCGGCCAGTCTGTATGTGGGATCCGAACCCTCGGCGGGAGGGCCACCGCACTCCCAAGCGGCGCACTGTAGCAGTGCGCCACTGGGCCGGCCCCAAAATGCTGAAACTTCTAAGTTTCATTAGCTTCCTTCATATTACTAGGCAAGTCACATTTAGGAAAATGTGTGCTTTCTTAAAAAAGAAATCAGCTCAGTTTTTCTGACTTCATCTTTTTTTTAAAGATCTGAGTTCCATTCTCTAGTCCAAGACCTTTATCCAAGTTGTTGGGCCTCCACTGCAAAACAGTTTCAAACACCTTTCAGTCTGTGCAAAATTATATGTTCTGAGTTTTCTAAGCTTTTCCCAGACTTCTTGGTTTAGAAAAATGTTGTATCTCTGGAGATGGTATTACCCGAGAGCTGACAGTTCCAATCTCATTGGTTCGACACAGTTGACCATATTCTTGGCTGTATTTTGCACATAGCTGATTAGATACCTGCAACAAATCATCATCAAGAAAGAAAGATAGGCAAAATTCATCAAGTTATGGCAAATTTGCTTTAGATGAAGAACAACTGAAAGCAAAAATAGCTTTCATGTTACCTCATTGGAATTATGTTGTTTTACCATCAAAATAACAATAACGAAACAAATGCTTGCTTTGTCTTTAAGTATCTGATAAATGTGAAATTTAAAACCTCTAATTCTAAACACCTTATAAATTATGACACTTCTTTCCAAAAGAAACCCAGTTTGAGTTTTGTTTTGTTTTATTTTGTTTTAGTTAAGGCTTATTCTTTTGTTGTTCTACCATTGTCATGAAAAAAGTATTTATTTTTCACTTAAAAAATAAGAAAAGAAAGTACTTTTTTGGTTATCCCTTAATATTAGAAAGTGTTCCTTAAATAATACTACAATTCCAAACAGGTAACACTAGCAACACCCTCACATACAATCACGACAAGGCAGTTAAAACTGGTTGAACTTACTATTTTCAACTCAGGCACCTGTGACTGCAATCGAGGAGCTGCCCAGATTAGTGTAGACATGGATTCAGCCAGACCAGAATCTAGTTCCCTAAGGAATGGACAAAATTATGTAACTCAGAGCTTTATGTTTCCCTCTTTTCCCTACTTCAAAGGTAGCTCATGGACATTGTTCACAATAAAAAGTTAAGTAAAATTTTTTAAAAACTAAAATTGGAATATAAGCCTACATGTAAATATATGTGTATACACACAGTTACATATAGATATACATATACAGACTGAAAGGAAAGATATCATAATTCTTATCTCCATATTTGGAGATAAATCTGATTGCTTTGCTCTGGTAGATAGTAACCCTACTGAATACACCTGCTGGCAGGGGACAAAGTATGTGATGTAGCTGCTGTAAGAAGATCTCACTATGCCTAATTTATTACAATAGGTTTAACAATCCTCCAGTTTTGCCTTGCTTGAACAACTTCTGCCAAAAAAATGCTTAGAAGGTATCTTAGTGGGGAATGTGCGGAATTCATTGTGGAGACCTTCTCCACTCAAGTAAGTGCCCCAGGTGCTGTAAGGAAACTTCAGCTACTGGAGTCAGTAGCCTGCAGGTTGATTACTGCCTGAAGGGTGTTGTGGGAAAATACAAGAAGATCAAGATCTCTTCCAAAATGCCAGTGTGCAAAGGACACTTGGGGCAGCCTCTCAACAGTTTCTGCCTGACTGATAGGCAGCTGATTTGTGGGATTCGTGCTATTTGTGGTGACCACAAGAAGCATGTCTTATGATCTATCAGGCTGGCTGGTTAGCTCAGGTGGTTAGAGCACAGCCTTGTAATACCAAGGTCAAGGGTTCAGATACCCATACGGGCCAGCTGCAAAAACAACAACAGCAAAATATAATTATGATCTATCAAAGATTCCTATGCTCAGGAAGGGATGTCTTTGAGTCCTTCTTCCAGGACTTTGAAACCTGGCTTTGGGAAGATGCCCTTTCCAGCATGGATACCTTGGAAACTACAACAGGAAATCCCTACAGTTAATGACTAAAGATTCAGATAAAGTGAAGGAGTTCTTTTGAGAAGTTACAACACACATTGGCTCAAAAGAAGAATAAAATCCTGTCTGACTTTGAAACCACGAACCTTGCGGTTAGGCAAGCCTGTGCCCCAGAGGTCAACAAACTCAACACCGTCTCGCAGTAGCAACGAATGGCCTTTAACATTACTGAGGCATTCAAAGGCCTGTCAGAACCCATCATATTCCTGCAATAGATGCAGGAGCTTAGGGAGAAAATCAAAGTAATCAAAGAAGCTCCTTTACCTCCCTCCTATTTGCCCACAGGCCTTTTAATGAAGAACTTTGATATCAGTTAATGGAAGGATACAAAACTAATTGATGTGCATAAACTTTGTTTGCCTCAAAACACTGGTACATTCATTAGCAAGATTCTCTGGAGCTTTTATCAGTTATTTGTGGTAGTCCTTCTGCTTGGCCTTCTTGCTTTTTCTATGGTCCTACCATACTCCTCGAATGGTCTTTATCTGATGAATTCAAAACTAGCAAAGACCATTTTTCAAACTTCAGTTCCTATCTGACTAAATCAGCCAATCTGTAGACATCAGTTTTTTTTTTTACTGGGAACAGGTGACAGAAGTGTTTTTCATTTTCAGTGAAAGATTCAAAAATTGTACTTTGGTGGTGCTGAACAGTGTGGCATAATTTGTGTGCAAATATAAAATACTTCAAAGGTAGCCAATGGACAAAGTTCATAAAACAAAAATAAATAATTTTTTTTAAAAACTGCAACTGGAATATAAACCAATATGTACAGGTATACATGTATACACACACACAGTTACATACATATACATACACATAAACATATACATATACATGTACAGAGAGAGAGAGACTGAAAGGAAATATACCAAAATTCTTATCTCCAAATTTGGTGATAATGGATTTTTTTTTTTTTGGCCTGTATTTTCCAATTTTTCTATTATAAGTTTATACTATATCCTTACGGCTCAGGGGAAAAAACACAACTATTTAATTTTCCTAAAAAATGCCTCCTTGGACTGACATATTCTCTTCAAGAAGGGGTAGTTCTTCCTATAAAAGTTAGAGACAGTGTTCCTTAATATTCCCAACAAGTTAGATCCCACCCCCGCTGGCTCACCAGGTGGGAGAGATGCCTTGTCACTTCTTTGAGTATGCAAAATGATGCACTCACTTTGTGGACTGAATCAAGCTAAACCGAGACAGCAGTAGGTCACAGTACAGCTCCAAAATCTCCATGGCCTCCACGAGGTAGTCTTCCTGGATAACGTGCTCCACATAGATCCGAGCTCGCTCATCCTTCCCAGCAGCCAGATAGTCTGCAACCTCCTTTCTTGCTTTCTGGGCCTGCTCAGCTATAGCACAAAGCACACAGAGAAAAATGAATGTGCAAAGAGGGGGTTGTTGAATAAAAAAGCAGGTTACACAATAATGTGAAACAATGGTTTTATAAACCAAACGAACAACACACACACTTAAAATATACTGTATATGGGGCCGGCCCGGTGGCGCACTGCTACAGTGCGCCGCTTGGGAAGTGCGGCGGCGCTCCCGCCGAGGGTTTGGATCCCACATACAGACCGGTTCCCGCTCACTGGCTGAGCGAGGCGCGGGAGCAACACCGAGGGCTGCGATCCCGTTGCCGGTCCCGGTCCGGTACGGGGGCGACACTGAGGGTTGCGATCCATTGCCGGACACGGAAAAAGAGAAAAAAAAAAAAATACTGTATATGCATAAAGTTGAGTGTTTCACATTAGGTCAGTGGCTCTCAAATTGTCATCCCCCAGATCAGCAGCATTATTATCTCCCAGGAACTTGTTAGAAACATGAATTCTTGGGCCCCACCCCAGAACACTGAATCAGAAACTCTGGAAGAAGAGTCCAGCAATCTGTGTTGTAAGAAGTCTGGTGGATTCTGACACCTATTAAAGATTGACAGGTAATCTTTTTTTTTTTTTTTTTTTTTTTTTTTTTTAAAAGATGACCGGTAAGGGGATCTTAACCCTCGACTTGGTGTTGTCAGCACCACGCTCACCCAGTGAGCGAACCGGCCATCCCTATATGGGATCCGAACCCGTGGCCTTGGTGTTATCAGCACCGCACTCTACCGAGTGAGCCACAGGCCGGCCCGACAGGTAATCTTTATTTTATTCTTTCAGCTTACCTTTGTTTTCTAAAATGTTCATTAGGAATATTTATTACTTTTGTAATAAAAAGATTAGTTATTTTTAAAAGGACAGTGCATGTAGGGCTTTGAATTTTAAAAAATGTTTTCATATATACAGTTTTATTTGATTCCTGTTAACACCTGTGTGAGATTTGTATGTTATCTCCATTTTACAGCTAAGAGGATTGAATACTTTGAGGAGTTAAACAGCTTGCCCATGATCACATGACTTGGAGTAATTGGTTGAGTTGAAGCTCAAGACCAAATCATCAGGCTGCAAATTCCTATGCCTTTTTACCACATTATGTCATAGAATGAACCAGTAGAGTCATGTTGGAGAGGTGACAAATGTAACCTGCCCCAGGGCAATCCAATGGAACAAGTAAAGTCTTACTATGTTGTTTTACCAACTGACGACTGAGCCTGGGGAATCTTTTGTGTCTTTTCACAAACGAGGAATACTTCAGAGCCTCGAAATTATACAAATATACTCTGTCTGTCTACCATACCCTACAGGTAATGTTCTAATCATAAATAGCAGTTACTCTGTTGCTACAAAACATATTGACATGAGATTGCATTTGAATCTGAGAAACACAAAGATCAGTACTTGGAAGGGAGTGTAGCCATGTCCAATCTGGGAAAATGTCCTTTACTCTAGACATGTCTGGGAAAAAACATCATGGTAGTACTGGAATTGTTTCAGATAAATGCTGAACTGCTTGTTTTACACCAATACCAATATCAGCAAACATTTATTGTGAGCCCAGGTAATAGTTTGTGATACAAATAGAACCCCCGAGTGATAGAAAGTCAAGATTATTATCTCCTTTTATTTATTTATTTATTTATTTTTTTCTTTTCTTTTGTGTGTGTGTGTGTGTGGCTGGCCGTCTTTTTTCTTTTTCTTTTTTCTTTTTCAGTAGGTGACATTGTCTCCTTTTAAAAAGGAATAAATTTAGATAAGGCAGGGCTAATTTGTTTTATTAATCTCAAGTCACTCAGGGACTCCATGTTTAAACTTTGTTTGTAAAAGAGAATAATATTTATCTGGATAATAATATGTATCACTGGATCGTCAGTATCAAATAAAAGAACATGTGGTCATACAGTTTAAAATTTACAAGTGCTGTGTACAACATCAATGCCATCCTCATTTTTCATGGTAACAATAATGGGCACCACTGGATTTGCCTAAATTTGTTTTGGGTACTTTCCTTAGGCCCCTATTATCTAAATACATAATGCCCAAACATCTGCAAGATTTGGCTAAAGAATGCCCAAAAATCAATTTGGAAGTTTGATTAACAGCTGCCTCCCTACCAACAGATTATGGTAATTCAATAGGACTATTTACTGAGCACTAAAAAAAAAATACATTTATGTGCAATGTTTATTTCACCTGAACTTTCCTGATAATCAGAGACCATCAGTTTTTCAGTTTATTGAGGGGTTAATGGCTCACATGACCCAGCAGAATGAGGAAAGAGCAAAAGGCAACAGAAAATAAGTCAGGGAGCATTCTGAACCATTTTTGGCCTGGACTGCTCCCCGATTAAAAAAGAAAGAAAAAAGGAAAAGAGAAGTCAGACTTAAGACAACACTTGTGAGCACTCCCCTGAACATGGGTGTAATACGGCTTGAGCTATCACTTGACAGAAGAAAAAAGGTAAAGACCTTCCAGAAAAATTTGCCCAGAGGGCTCAAGCTTAATGGCAATTGCACATTGGAAAAGACTGACTAGATAAAGTTCTCTGCCTTGATGTAGAGAAGTCCAGTAATCTGGACGTTGTTTTACATTTTAAACCTTTAGAACTTTTTTAAAAAAAATTAAACTTTTTATTTTGAGATAATCGTAGATTCACATGCAGTCTACATGTTGTAAGAAATAATATAGAGAGATCTAGAGTACCCCTTACGCAGTGTTCCCCAAAACTGTAGTAGAATATCACAATCAGGATACCGACATTGATAAAGTCAAGATATAGAACAGTCTTTGGAAACATTCTAAAGGAATTGATCTCCATAATAATCATTACCGCATTCCCACAAGTCAGAAGCAATACTGAAATTGCTAAGTGAGGTCTTAGGAGAAATATCACCATGGGGATTGCGCAGTGATCTGAGAGGCAGCTTGCCATGCTGCTTGGTGTATTTACTTACTTTTCTTTTTTTCCAGGAGTTTTAGGCGATTGATAACCAGTTGCAGGTTAACCCGAAGGCGATCAGCTTTGAAGGTAGAGCTGAACATTGTTTCACCACAAGACACAGCAGCTCACAAATCACCTTGCTGAGCAAGCTTCCCAGAGAAAAAGAAAGTTGTCAGTTTTATTGGGGGGCTCCAGTTTTTCTGTACCCGCTTTATTCATTCCACAAGCCATGTAAAGAATTCGTGGCCGCCTAATGATGGCCTGAATACACTTGCTTCTCTAGGGACCAATTTCCCAGATATGATTCTTACAATTCAAATAAGGGTTAGGTTTCCTTCAGTTTATTCCAATCGTCAGTGTTTTTACTGCAGCCTTTGAGAGTTCCGCAGGAAGTCTCTGACAAAAATGAAAATCTTTGGCAAGTGTCTGAGGAAGTAGGCAAGAGAGGAAGATCCCCCTCCCCAAATGATGTATTCCTCACTTACGGAGAAATTGTAAGAGTTCCATATGAAATATTAATGAATTTAAAAGGCAAATCTTGAGGCCGGCCCGGTGGCGCACTAGATTAGTGCGCGGCTTGGGAAGGGCGGCGGCGCTCCCGCCGGAGGGTTCGGATCCCACATACAGACCGGTTCCCGCTCACTGGCTGAGCGAGGCGCGGGAGCAACACCGAGGGTTGCAATCCCGTTGCCGGTCCCCGGTCTGGTGCGGGGGCAACACTGAGGGTTGCGATCCGTTGCCGGACACGGAAAAAGACAACAACAACAACAACAAAAAAAAGGCAAATCTTCTTTGGAATTTGGGAAGATCACAACATTAAAAGCATATGGAAATGAAGACAGAATTGTTCAGAGAATATAAAACAGAAACTTGAAAGTTGTGTATTTCTACATTTGGACATTTAGAAAAGCTTTTTGAAAAATAATCTAATACCAGGCACTAACACATTTCTAAGGAAAGCTAAATCCACGAAATATTTCTATAATTTCAATGTATACTAGGGATTAGTTGTCGTTTCAGCCATTGGCACCCAAAGATGAAGTTCCTTTCCTAAAATGACACCTTTACATGCTGAAGCATACAAGCAAGAAGACATAACAGTATAAAAAAAAGCCACCTATTTCTTTTGTTATGACACACATGGTTTTCCAAGTTACCAGCGCTTCTCTCTGGTTTGATCCCTAATCTCAAAAAGAGTAGAGACAGTTTTCTAAGTCTCCCTTTCCTGTACTACAGGTCTAGAAATGAGGAACTAGGCAACACAGAGAACTGGTTTGAAACTCCTGCCTGCGTAGGGAGAAGAATAACCCGTCTGACAGGGTTTTATAGTTGTTTTCCTTCCAACAGAGTAGCTTGAGCTCTGCCATCACAAATATTCAATCTAAACAGAATAAAGGAATTCAATAGTAATCCAGGGAAAGGGTAGAAGTGGACAAAACAGATGAAGTTTAACTTTTCAGTCCCCAAATATTCCAAATACCTTTAAAAAAAAAAAAAAACTCCTTTATTTTATCAGTTCTTAAAATTTGGTAGAAATAAAAAACTCAGTGAAAGAAAATGAAGGACTTTCAGATGATAGACTGAAAATAGATAGCTATCATATAGACAAACTAGACAAGAGTACAGGCAAGGAAAGGGGAGCAAAAGAATTAGCAAGCAAAATCTCCCAGTATGGGATATCTTTGTGAAGTTTCATTCAAAGACTATTTATTGAGCCAGTTACAAGGATAAGAGCCTGGGTTTACTTAATATAAATAACTTAAATAGGGAATTACCCACATTCCAGAGAATAATATAGAATTTTGGAGAAATTAGGTTACTTTTTGTTATTTTAGTGTCCTATATGTAAAAACTGTATTACTTATCACTAATATTCCCGTCAAACTGTGTCTATGGAGCTTCCTACCGTCAAGATGTATGACCAAAGAAATGAAGATTGCTCGGAGTAAAAGCTCTGGAATAGGATACAGCAAAGATATGAGCCTCTCTTCTGCGACTGCAACACCAAACCAGGAAATCACCTGTGTTCCACCAATCAGAACATCCTGTTTTTTAAACGGACACGTCACTATGTTAATGGCTGATAGCCAAAAAACCTTTTTTTAAAAATTTTTCAGTTACATCTACCTGTGCCTGCTCTTTCAACTTTGTACGAAAACCAGCTCTCTGAGTATATATTTTGATCAGGGAGAAACTGGCTATCCTAGACTGTACCTGGATGGTCAGAGGGTCTCTATCTTGGCAATTTTAATGCCAGTTTAGTGAGCTAAGGGATGAACTAGAAACCGGAATGCCAGTTAGCTCTAAAACGAATTCACTGAGTGACCACAGAACTTCCTTCTTGGTCAAATTGAGAGAGAGGGAGACTGTCAGGAATAGTACTAACATATTGGCTTATTTTTTCACTTCACAAAATGTTCGGAGAGCTCTTCTATCTACATTTTACTCCCACTCCTTCAGCTGGTTCAAGCGCCTTATTTTGCGGTAGTAGAAACCAAAGACTAAAGTGGCAAAATGACTTTATTAAGATCAGACACCTACACAGTAGGGAGCAGAGACTAGCCAGTACCTTTTCCCCACCCAGCCAATAATTTTTTAATCAAACAAAAATCAACTATTCATTAAACGTAGATTGCAAAAACTAAAAAGAATAAATCCTCTCAGAACCCAATCTCTCCCATGGTCAAACTTATTTTTGCTCAGTTTTTTTTTTTTTTTTTTTCCTTTTTGTCTTTTTTTGTGACCGGTAATGGGATTGCAACCCTCGGTGTAGCGCCCGGACCGGGACTAGCAACGGGATCGCAACCCTCGGTGTCGCGCCCGCACCGCGCTCAACCAGTGAGTGGACCGGTCTGCATATGGGATCTGAACCCTCGGTGGGAGCGCCGCCGCGCTCCCAAGCGCCGTACTCTACCGAGTGCACCACTGGGCCGGCCCTCAGTTTTGTTTGTTTTTGCCGAAAGTAAGCATAAATATTTTTTTTACATAATTGTAATTCAAACACAAACTCAACTGGCATTTATTTTTGTTTGCACTTAATCAGATGTTCATGTTATTATGAAGTCGACTAGTTAATTTGTAATGAATGGTGACCTAATATTTCGTCGAGTAGTCAAGCCTTCTTCCCACTAAACCAAGCTGCTTCCCACTGTACTAAACCCCTTCCTCTCATTCCCCACAAACTTTTAGGTCTCCCTCTACTTGCTTCACCTTCCCCTAGATCCTGGGTGAGGTTCACTTATCTCTCTCAGGCCCATTTCTCAACTCTTAAAGAGCTCGGATCTCCATCCTGCGTCCCCAGGAGGGATTTCCTTATTCCTGGGTCGCCTCGGGATCCCCCGAGGTTCCCAAAAGAAGGTTTCACAAGACCGAGGTCCAGGAAATGGGGATCGCTGATGGCCACGCCCCAGGGCTCTGTTTGGGAACCCCCTAGAGTTTAGTGAAGTGAAAAGATTGTGGGGTCATTGTGGGGTCAGAGGGAGGGCGCCGGGCTCAGCCCTCTTCACGTGATCTGGTCCCAGGGGGAGGAGTTTGTTTTCCCACCAGAGGGGGGCGCTGGACGCGACCCCTCCCCCCCC